TATCAAAATTTACAGTCAGGCAAGAAATGTGCTTATTTACTATTTAGAGGGTTACTACGGCGGACATGGGGGCTCAAGCCCCCCCCCCCCCCACACACACACACTTTTGAAAAAGTATATTAAAGAGAATGAAATAGAAAGAAATAGAAAAGAAAGTATGCTCATGTGACCGTGATTAAATGCCCATACCCCATCTTGGGACCTAAGGCTGGCCCCTGGATGCTAATCTGATCTTAATTTTAATGCCTAAAACCCCTGCGCTTCCGGGGACTCCGCCCCTTGGACCATACGCCAATTAGTGACCTGCCAGTGTCATGAATAAGGTATTAAAATATGCTCATCTGACCGTAATTAAATGCCCCTACCCCCTGAGCATCCGCCAATTTGTGCTACGCTCTACCTTATTTTAAATACTCTAGCCTCCCCCACTCACTTTCAACCCCATTTTTAATCACTTTTATTTCCCATTTAACTCCTTCATTAAACCTCGAAACGCCCCCAAATACTTGGAGCGGGGCCTCTATTACGAGTATATACTAGTAGTGAGTTGGTTGATGTACGAAGCCACGTACAAAAGTATAATCGATTACAACAGTTGTGGGGCCGATATCACGAGTATGCCTTCATAAAATAAAGGTTCTAAAGAAAATATTCACTTCTACTTTCAAAAGGACTGGCCCATTTGCTTTAAAAAAAATTAGAGTTATTATTATGTAATTTCTAGAAAAAATGTCAACCACATGATTTACTATGAGTCTAAATACATTGATTTGCCGAGTTGCTTCCTTTTATCAAATATACACGTAAAACAATGGGGGACAAAATGTGCGGATAGCAAACCGCACGGATCGTCCCTCGGACGATCCGTGCGAGTCACGGACGATCCGTGCGAGCAGAAAACCCGCATATTATGTCCGACGGACAAACGAAACTGGTAGGACAAACGGCGCGGTCACACCGGCAGGATTCAGCTGAGCGTGAGAGTTCGTTGATAACGCCATCTTCGGCGGTCTGCAGCAAGTGTTGGGAATAACATAGAGATAACATAAAAGAACCGACCTGATTCTCCAAGGTTGGTCGGACGACCAGCAATCGACCAGCGAAGAACAGCTAGACGCACAAAGTTTCCAAGCTAGGCTTTCGACTCGACCACCTTGATTGATGCAGGCGTAAATGGTAAAATTTGACTGAACGCTAAAAAGTACAACCAACAACATCAACATCAACAGGCATATGTTGTTATCTTGAATAATAAGGCAGAGATGCGAAGAAGAAAAAAAGAAGCAAAATCAATGTCTTGTCTACTTAGCCATTACAAAGTCTGTAAAGCATTTGCAAAGTGTTGCATCTCGTTTTGCTTCAATGCATGTCAAACTATAAAACTCTGAAGACAGTAAACACCGAACATGATTATTTAACTTTATATGATCTTCTTTTGAAATCTTTATTTCGTGAAAAAAATTATAGCCGTAGGGAAAGGGTTGGTATTGGGTTTTAGATTATGCCATTCCTATATTAACGATGGCACTTTGTTTATGTTTTAAGTAAATAAAGCAATAAAAGTGAACATGTAATTTATAACTCTGACAACTTCACATTGGAGTTTTAAAGTTGATGGTTATTGTGTTGCCCTTCGGAGAGCATTCACCATTTAACTCTTCATAATGCCTTGATTTGAACAATGGAAGTTGTAACGTGTGCATGCATGCTCCCACCCCTTCCCCCTTCTCTCTCTCTCTCCCCTCTTTAGTTCTCTCTTCCGTACTCTCTCTCTCTTTCCATTCCCCCTCCCTCTTTTTGATACTTGTTACATGTATTATCATTTGATGTTTACCCCCCCCCCCCCTCTCCCTCTTGAAACCGGCATAATCTGCCACTAGCCAATGTTCAAGGCGAGGGTGAAAATATGTCCCGTCTCTCTGATGTTAAGTACATGCCTGTACTCGTTGATGACAATGGGTTAAATCATAACTATATAATAATTATACCCTCCCCGCGCCTTGGTTAACCTTCGAAAACACTTTACACATGAGAGAGATATCAATGCCAGACGTATATTCAAATGATTTATTAAACATGTTTCTTTGCAAACTCTATGATTCTCTTGAAAGCAAATCTATATTAAGCTGATGAACGATCTGGTAGAAAATAGACATTAGTGATATATTGAGGAAGACAAAGAAATGGTATTAGTAGCTTACATATTCAAAATGAAATCAAAAGTCTTGTCACTTTATTTCTTACATAATTTTTAAGAGTATCATTTACACAAATTCCCCCGTCATTGTGCTACACATGATGACAATTGCATATGACTTAAAATATAAAATATCATTTCTAGGTTCAATCAAATTTGCCAAGTGCAATATACAGCAAAACATACATTTCCAATTCGAGGATACACAGAACACAAGAGTTGCTTGATTTGAATAGGATGCCAGCTTAAAGCTCATATAATATTTGCCCACAGATAGGTCTGGATACTGTACATACGATTATTTGTTAGTTACTGTACATTCAATGCGAAGAGCATTTCTGTTTATACACAGTACTAACGATTGATGTAACAAGCGCATAGAAATATATGTTCATCTATGTAGTGTTTTTTTTTGGAACATATCAAGAAGCGGCGGAAGTTCGTTTCATAGTTAATATTTGCATTCCTGGTGTATGACCACATCGATGTACAGCCAAATGAGTTTCTGCTAATAAGCCAACTGGTTATATGTTCTACCGTATTGGCCTACATCAACCATGTCTACATCTAAGTCTTCTCATGTAATCTTTCTATTTTTTTACGTTTAACTTAAATATTTTGAAAATAATATTTTAGGAGCTAAACGATCGATCAATTGAAATATGTACAAGGTCGGAATACCAATAACGGTAACTGTGGCAAACGACTAAACCTTAAATATATGACATATAACAAGTAGTATACATGTAGATAAAATCATAATTATAATCACAAACATTACACAGAACATTAATGTATCATAGGAAAACATGTAGCAAATAATATAATTCAACGCAATATCATAATGTTAGGGTATCTGCGAGCCAAATATTGGTACGTAATGGTGACCAACAGTGACGTAATGCGGGGGGGGGGGGGGGTCGGGGCAGGGAGGGGCGAGTTTCCCCCTCACTTCTCCGCGAAACGCGGAAGCTTTGACGTTTCATTAATTTATTAGAGAAAGAAGAAGGTTCGTTGTACCGTTCTAGAAAAAATAATTCTCGTCTGAATTTAGTTTTTCCCCTCCCGCGCGAAGCGCGAAATTTGTTAGGATTTATTAAATTAGTAGAGAAAGAAGACGATTCGTTGTAGAGTTCTCGACTCTTAATCCTCGTCTGAATTCAGGTTCCCCCCCCCCCCACTCCCGCGCGAAGCGCTGAAGCTTTTAATTGTCCTTAAATCATTAGAGAAAAAAGATGATTTGTTGTACCGTTTTCGAAAATAATCCTCGTCTGAATTTAGGTTCTCCCCCCTCCCGCGCGAAGTGCGGAAGCTTTTACGTTTCATTAAATCATTAGAGAAACAAGGCGATTCGTTGTAGAGTTCTCGACTCTTAATCCTCGTCGGAATTTAGTCCCCCCTCCCCCCTCCATCACGCGCGAAGCGCGGAAGCTTTTACGTTTCATTAAATCATTAAAGATTCGTATTACCGTTCTCGCCTCTGAATCCTTGTCTGAATTCGGATTCCCCCCTCCCGCGCGAAGCGCGGAAGCTTGACGTTTCATAAGATTATGAGAGAAAGAAGGCGATTCGTTGAACCGTTCTCCACTCTTAATCCTCGTCTGAATTCAGTTCCCCCCCCCCTCCCGCGCAAAGCGCGGAAGCTTTTACGTTTCATTAAATCATAGGAGAAAGAAGACGATTCGTTGTACAGTTCTCGACTCTTAATCCTCGCCTGAATTCAGGTTCCCCCCTCCCGCGTGAAGCGCGGAAGCTTTTAATTTTCATTAAATCATTAGAGAAAGAAGACAATTCGTTGTACCGTTCTCGAAAATAATCCTCGTCGGAATTTAGTCCCCCCCCCCTTCCATCTCGCGCGAAGCGCGGAAGCTTTTACGTTTCATTAAATCATTAAAGATTCGTATTACCGTTCTCGCCTCTGAATCCTTGTCTGAATTAAGATTCCCCCCTCCCGCGCGAAGCGCGGAAGCTTGACGTTTCATAAGATTATGAGAGAAAGAAGACGATTCGCTGTACCGTTCTCGATTGTTAATCCTTGTCTTGGGCGGCGGCGAAGCCGGCCCCGGAAGCTCAGAGGTTTTAGGCGTGTAATTAAGGTCAGATGAGCTTTTTTTTAATTTTTTTTTTTATACCTTATTATTTTGTTCCGGGGGGCGGAGCCCCCCCCCCCCAATCAGGGGTTTTAGGCATTAAATTACCGTCAGATGAGCATCTAAGGGCCCGCCGTAGGGCCCTAGGTGGAATCCAGGGGGCAGAGCCCCCGGAAGCTTAGGGGTTTTAGGCATTTAATCACGGTCGGATGAGCATATTTTGATGCCTCATTATTTTTTAACACTGGCAGTTAACTATTCTTTCTTTCTGGCTCTCATTCTATTTATGTTCTCTTTAATATACTTTTTCAAAAAAAGTGGGGGGGGGGGGGGGAACTCGCGGCTCCCGATCCCCGCCGTTCCTCGGGCCCTGACATGTAGGAATCTCAAGAATCATATTTCTTGCCTGGCTGCAAATTTAGGAATTTTCCAACAAACACATACAAACGTATAATTTACTAACAAGTGAGGAAAAATCTCGGAAATTATGTCATTTCAGCATTATTTGTAATCCACCGTTGTGGAATTAGAAATAAACCCCATTTGAATTTGATTTCTCCCAAGCCCCCCCCCCCCCTATCAGTACGCCCGTATCTCCGCTTTTCCTTTTTTCTTTCCCTTTCCTTCCTTCTCTCTTATTTTTTTGATGGGGGGGGGGGGGGGGGGGGTCAACAGCCTGGGAGGCAAAGCCCTTTCGGCCCCCCGATCTCCTTCTTCCCCCTTTTCTTTTCTTCTTCCTCTTCTTTTCTTTCTTCTTCCTCTTCTTTCTTTCCTTTTCTCTCCTCTTTCCCTTTCCCTTCTTTTCCTTTCTTCTCTCTCTTTTTTTTTTTTTGCAGGGGGGGGGGGGCCAAGGCCCGCTCGCCCCCCCCCCCCCCTAGATCCGCGCCTGCTGGTATGCTTCCACCACGGTATGAAATGTTTAGAAGACCTGAACCGTCGCAAGCTAAAATAATGTAAGTAAACTTGACATGATGAAGATTCTCTAATGATTTCTTATAACCTGAGTGTTTTCTTGGAAACAAGTTTTATTATATTTACGAGGAAAAGGAGCAATATTTTCTCTGGGAATGTATCAATAAGAACGAGTTGAGAAATCAGATCTACTTCGTTACTTATGATTTCGCCTACATGGCTTGCATCTAAGGTAGTGGATTCCTCGTTTGTTTTCCCAACATAAGAACTATAGAGGGGCTATCTCAGACATGTCTTCGGGTAGGACTTGTATTTCATGGCTGGGCGATTGCTCAGAAGGTTGAATGCTACTTATGTTGTTCATATCATCACCATGATGAACTTCTTCTGATGACACTATGTATACATTTTGTTTTGAGAGAATGGTTTACATACATTTTATTGCGGGCAAGTTAATAAGAGTCACAAGCTGTCTAGGTCTTCTCTGCATCTAATGATCTTATTCGGATTCTGCCGCCTGGCGCTAGCCAGGTTTTTCCATTTTTAATACAAAAAATACAAAGATATAAACAATAATAATTATTTGCAATATATAAGAAAATGAAGTAAAGGAACTAAACAAAAGGCCAAATGTCCTCGTGGAGGCATAGTTCTTCGAACAGTAGTTAAGACATTTGCTTATACAAACACAAATGAAAAGGACACATACATGACAAAACATGACAGGGACATCGTTTATCTTCAGAATCCACTTCAAATATATCGAAGTCCTCTGTACTGCGCTCCTGTAATTGGTCAATATGTTGACTCCTACTTCCATCTGTCAACTCCTCCTGGGTTTTGGAAGCCATGTCTCCTGAATGCCCATCTCGTGGAGGATGGATACTGCTTGAAGTAGCTTCCTGAAGTACCTGGATGTCAGTGTGTCCTTTGGTCCGGTCCTGTTCTAGAGAGGTCTCATCTCTATTAGAGAGCTGCTGATCATTGACGTCTTCGTTATCATATTCATCATCGATCTGTTCCTCTGCTACACCTGACCGGCAACAAGGAAAACAAAAAGTTTTTTTTTTCTTCTCTCAAAGCATATCGAATCGGAATTATCATGATTATGTAGAACTTATCGCAGTGAATTCGAAATTTATTTTATGTTTATGTTAACCAGTGAGTAGACGAGAACTTGACGTTACTATATAATCAGCATCGTATTGGGTTTTTCGTGTGCACAGCTATAATGAGGAAATTGCTAACTGCAAGAAGTACCTATTAAGCTCCCTCTTTCTTTATTTTCTCTGCATTATGTCACCTTAGTCTCTATATCAGCAGTATACATTTGGGAAATGAACTTGCTTCAGAAAATACTACCAATCTTTTTTTAAGCACATGGGCCGTATTGTACACCAAATATAATAGCATGGTGCTGAAGTGTTGAATGGGGTGCTTATTACAACACTACAATTGTTCTTAATGAAAATATACGTTACCTGTGCTGAGATACAGGTCTGCAAGGTTGACTAACTTGGCGGCTTTTAGCGCCTTCGTTAGCTCAACCCGTTCATCTTCCCTGGACACACCTTCTCTCCATTGTTTCAGCATGTGACGAGTTCCATCACTGGTAACACGGTTGAACTTCACATTGGTCATGAGCGCTCTCTGTATATCACCATGTAGGATTCCCAGCTGACCAGCAAGGCTGTCGATCTTGGCTTCATCGTAAAGATCGTCAGCTATCTGCTGTAATATGCCTGCAAACTCATCCTCTGGGGGCTCCTCTCTAGAATGGTACACGGTAAACAAAAAAAAGACAAACTTGGGGTGGTCAGAGAACGTTGGTATGACGTATACACTTAAAAAGTCAAGTAAAATCTTTACTTAGGTGAAGATAGGAAGGGAAAAATACGTTCTTCCAGTGATGAGACCATACTCAACATGCTCAAATTATTGATATCAATTCATGAAAGGATTTTACTTTAAAATCTAATCACCATAGACAAGAATGCAGCTAAGATAATCATTTTTTGTTAATGAGTTGTAATCTTGTATTCACTTCTGCTTCTACATAATCACAGATGGTCATGATTTTTTATTCATAGAACATAAGTGCTGTCGTACTTTTAAAACTGTTATTGACAGTCTAGCATCACTCATTTTACACACAAAAGTACATTCCATAGTAGTTTTGTCACTGCAAGATCAATAATGCGTTCATTGTCATTTAAAGAGTAAATATATTTCATCTCACCCTGCTTGTAATGTTTCACTTCTTCCCAGTCCTCCGCTTGAATTATCCTCAAATGATGATGTGCCTGTCATGACGGAATTAAGTAAGTTTGAATGAAGAAAAAAAAAGAGAAATATTTTTACTGATCTTTATCGTTCAATGTATCTCTATGTGTTATTTTAACTTGTAAAGTATAAATAATGCACAAGCAAGTAAGCTCTAGCGTCTTTGGATAATATAATCGAATGGTGTTATTTTTGGCATAATGACAACTAAAACAAACAAGACATATATCAATTTAGATTGAAGACCATGTTAGACTTGATAAGCTTCACATTATAAATATTTTAACAAGTAACCAAAGATGGAATAGGAGTTATGTAGCATATTGTAGATATCAAAATAGGAGTTGGAAAGGGAAAATGAGATTGAAAAGTTAAGTCTTACCACCCTGAGCTTGTTTCCCAGAGGTCACCCAAGGAATGAAACTCCATTGATGTGTCTCTGCTTTCTTCTTCTGCTCTGCTGATCGTATCTCACTTTCTAGTTGAATTTTGGTTCTCAGCTTCCAGGTCTCACGCTCAAGTTGCTCCAAAAGCTGTTCCTTATAGTCATGCTCCTTCTTTAGCTCTTCAACTTGCTGTCTTAGAGTCGTCTCATTTCGTTCTTTCTCCCTTACGGTTTCAATCAAAGTGTCTACGCGTTGTTGCTGAGAGAAGAGTTTCTTCGTCATATCTGCTGCCATTGAGCGCTTCTCTTTCTCAGATCTTGCTCTGTCTTGCTTTCTTCCTTTCTCTAACTCTTTAACTTGTTGTGTCAGCGTCGTCTCATTTCGCTCTTTGTTCCCTACGGTTTCTGTCAAAGTGTTTACATGCTGTTGCTTAGAATCGAGTTTCTTCCTCATTTCTTCTGCCAATGAGCGCTTTGCTTCCTCAGATCTTCCTCTGTCTTTTTCAGCTTTTACTCTGTCTTCCTCTCTTCCTCTCTTTAGCTCCTCAACTTGTTGTGTTAGAGTCGTCTCATTACGCTCTTTCTCCCCTACGATTTCTGTCAAAGTGTCTACATGCTGTTGCTTAGACTCGAGTTTCTTCGTCATTTCTGCTGCCAAGGAGCGCTTCTCTTTCTCAGATCTTTTTCTGTCTTCCTCTCTCCCTTTCTTTAATTCCTGATTTTGCTCTTGGACCTCTGTGAACATCTTCTGATTTGCTTCTTTCGCCTCTTTCACCTCTTTCTTGGTTTTCTCATAGAACAACGAACATCGTGGATTCGTGCACATCTTCTTCAGATCATTAGCTGCTAACGTTCTGTCGCCTTTATAAAGGCATCCACGTAGAAGGTCAAGCAACTGCAACTGTTCCTCATATGAGCGATTGGAACCAGAGCCAGGTACTTCGTACATATCAGTGATCCCGAGCCGCTTCAATTCATTTCTCGCTTCGAGGGTGTCTCCGAAAGGAAGTATAGCACATAGAGGGGCGCGGCCTATTCAATCGAAACATATTCAATGAGTTTACTCAAAATTACGTCTAAAGTCACGATATGTTGATGACATCTACAAATGTACATACCACACATATGTCCATTATGTTTTTTTTTCCCGGGAGGAGGGGGGGGGGGGTGGTTGACACAAAGTAATTGAGAAAATCTGAAATGCTTCTTCATCTATGTGTGTTTTTATCGGTATACTCACTGGCATATAATTTCCTGCCATATATTGTAAAAAGAATGGGCGAAATCGGGTGAGAAAAGTAGGGAGCGGAGAGAGAGAGAGAGAATGATGATAAAGGATGGAGACTGAAGATGAGCCGGTATAAAGAGTAAATGAAGTGAGTAATAAGATAGTAATACATTCACAACTATGATAATGCAAATAAAATATAATATTAATGATAGGAAATTTAGTCGGGAAAATCATGATAGAATAGACTGATGAATTTGTTTATGATATTGTTTAACCACAACAACTTTTAAAGATCGGTAGTTCGAAGGAATTAATTAATAAATAAATGATATAAATCAAGACCACGTCGGGTTGGATTGATATAGCCTCATACCGGTATTTGACGTAAGCCTTGCCATGCTCAACTTTAATCACCCCCCCCCCCCCCATGCCTCGCCTTATGCCGAAAAGATGGGTAGCATCACGTCGCGTCGCGTTGACTTGCATGATCGCGACCATTCGTCCGACACCCCCCCCCCCCCCACCCTCTCGGTTCTGCCGAAAGGGTGCGTTGGGAGTGTCGCGTCGCGTCGGGTAGACTGGAACGCGACCATTCGTAAACAGCCCCCCCCCCCCGTTTTGCCCAAAGGATGCGTTGATTAGTCTTTCACACCAGTCGTTTATAAAAGAATTAAAGGAATAGAAACAGATTAAAAATTAAACAATTAAATAAAACTAGTTTTTACGTAGTCTTGCAGATCAGGCGTTTATAAGAATTAAATCAATAAATAACACAATCAAATAATTTACTTTTTTATTAACAAATGTCAAATAAAGGTGTTTGCCTAGTCTTGCACATGAGGCGTGTATTTATTTAAAAAAATATATTCATATCCATTTCTTTTATGGAATTGAGAACCTCCCCCCCCCCGCCCGCTACTCCATTAATAATTAATTTTAATTATTAGTTATTTCATTTGTAAAGACGCTCATGCAAGAATTGTCTACATCAACAACAAAAATCTATAGGCCTACATAGAAAGAAATGGATATTATTTAAATTTGACATTTTAAAATATTTATTGAATTTTGTCATTGATTTAATTCTTATAAACGCCTAATCTGCAAGACTTCGTAAAAACTACGCTTTAGTTAATTTTGAATCTGTTTCTATTTTGAATATTTCAATTGAAACGACTAACATTTCTAGCCCTTAATTTCTATTAAAACGACTGATGTGAAAGACTAGTCAACGCACCATTTCCAAACTTCAAAACTTGATTTTATTGAATTTCAATCTGTTTCTTTTTTGATTATTTATGTTTAAACGACTTAAATTTCTATTTTATTAAATTCTATTATAAACGACTGAAGTGGAAGACTAGTCAGCGCAACCTTTCCGCAAAACCGGGAAGGGGGAGGGGGGTGGGTGGCTTTGGACGAATGGTCGCGTTCCAGTCAACGCAACGCGAGGCGACACTCCCAACGCACTCTTTCGGTACAACTGGGGGGGGGGGGGGTGGTGGAGGGCTTTGGACGAACGGTCGCGTTCAAGTCAACGCGACGCTACCCACCTTTCGAGATAAACCTAATCGTTTTATTTTTTTGATGTTCAAATTGTTGACTGTGATTTGTCAGATCATGGCCTTATGTCTCACACGTAGATCCATGGTCAGATGATTAAAGTCAACTATGTCAACGCCGGGGGGGGGGGGGGGGGGGGTAGATGTTTTTTGGGGGAATGGTACATAGTAAACACCATGCCCGTTTCAAATGAATTACCAGGATGGTCTCAAAAAACAAAATCTGGTAAAATCCCCGTGATTATTCGATTGGTTACCAACCGAGGATATGAGATGATATGTTCATGCATATTAAATCTAATAGAAAAAAAGGAATCTTTTTCCAGCATTTCAATGGATGGTATAATAATCAAATTAATGGAGAAGTAGTTTTATCACATCGGCCTATCATACATATAAACACAGGCCTACACAAGCAGAGGTAAGTATTAACATGCAATTTACGAAGAAAGGAAAAAGTATATAATTTACAAATGAACGAAAAAGGGGCTTGTAAGAGTCCACCATATCAACGTGATCAGAATTAATGGTGTGTAATTAATATGGATAATATAGAAAACTTAGATAAATACTTGATTTCAAGGTCAAATCATGTACTGGAGAAATATTTAACTCTACTCTCGATTTATTTGTCGTTATTTCTTGACTTTGACATAAGCCCCTTGATCCCTCTTCTTTTTCTTCTTCTTTCCCATCTGTACATATACCATATATTCCTACTAAACCTCTGCACTCAGAGAGCATTAGCTCATTGATGTCTCGATTTGGTGTCAGCTTGGGTTTGTCCATATTAGATCGCCCTCCCATGGATGGGTTGTTCGTGCTCATATGACATATATTTTAACACACACGGTGGCCCGAATTCACAAAGGAGGTTTGTCGACAAACCTATGTTTTCGTGCGTAGTATGACGCGTTTCGACGCGTTTTTACAAACAAGGTTTGTAAAAAAAACGCGTCAAAACGCGTCATATGACGTACATAAACCTAGGTTTGTCAACAAACCTCCTTTGTGAATTCGGGGCGGTGAGATTGTTAGCTCACCCGGTGTGATGTTGATGTGCGCATATTCGGGTATACTTGTTGTGGTCATCAATGCTGTGGTCGATGCATCGTTGGGTAGTTGTTTTCTGAGAGTATTTTGTGAATGGTGAGTTATATGGTCTCCTCGTCTTTCTTTATTCTACATTGTACTGTTATAATTATACTCTATTAGATTTTGTCACATGTGTTTTCTGGAAGGCAAATAAACTTGATACCTGATACTAGATACTTGATTTTTGTATGTCCCAACTTTCTTAAATTTTACTTCATTGTGTATATGTGGATAGGCCATGTTTTTGTTGTATATCCTTATTTTTTTTTTCTCTCTGTTTATGTACAGGGATTCATGGTTGAACACGATTGTGAATGAGCTACCTTGTTTTGTAAATATGTGAATAATGATTAAAGGTAATACAAAGTTTTGGTAAGGGGTCATGAATTTGGTTCAAATGAACAAATTGGAAGCGTATGCGATCCCACAATATTCAGCGGTTGAAATCGAGTATAAAGTTATGAAATTATGAATAATAAACTCTTTATGTTGTATAGCTCCCTCTCAAAATCAAGATATTAATTAAGCTATAAAACAATGTCTATTGACTAAAATCGACCAATTAGCTACTCCCGTTTGGAAATTATATATCACAACTACATATTCTGAGATTTTCATGGTCGTAGCTACCATTGTGCGGCCGTAGGCGCTATTTGAAATTTATCCAAATGAGCACCGGTAAATTTTTATATTCAATTTTCCTTGAAATCAGAAGTGTTTTGGGGGCTAGTGCTTATAAAACATCCAAAGGGGAATCCAAATATATCAAAATTGTAAAAATTTACTATCCACCCAAGTTTCAAAATTTCTCAAAACTTTCTATTACCTTTGACATAAAGAAATTGCTTGTAGAAATTTGATTCTGATATAAATTAAGTAATAGTTGTTCCTCGTTTCTTTCATGTTCCATTCATAACTGATGAAACATTATTGTGAAGCAGGTGTCATTATTGTTAGATACCTACACATTTAATAACAGTGCATATAACACAAAACACCAGATACGTAAACAAAGTTAAACAACCTACATAATGATTCATGCGTTATAGAATTCTGGCTAGTAACATTATTTATTTAACTAATCATTCTTTTAACTAATACGGTGGTGTATATCATCGCCTTGTGGTGTATAATGTGTGTATCAACAGTGCAATTTGTTATAAATTCAAAATTGTATAAAAACATACCTTCATAATATGTGTTCACTTCATTATCCTACCTACCATTTTGGACAAACTCACCTGTAATCCTATTTATTTTCTCGATCCTTTCCAGGTAAATTTCAATATGAAGCGGGCTGAAAATAAAAATAAGAAAATCCACCGATTCAGAATCGTTATTATTCACGTGGTGATGATTGAAGGGTTAATGATAATAACATAATTCTGCAACCCACCCCAACCAAAGGCCACCTCAAAGAAGATAACGCGTATGTATTTGTTATACCCTACACTTATAATAATTGTTCATTGTGTTCTAACACGTTAACCCTATACGCAAACCTAAGCATATCACAATGAAATTGTTCTCGCTCCGTGGGTACGCTCTATCGAAAATTAAAAGATGCATTGTTTCTCAGCACCGTAAACATTCTGTGTAGAATAGGTATCGGATGAGGGGGCAGGTGCTTTCATTTACCAATGGACGGGAAAATACTTATTGCGCCTAAATTACAATAAACAATAATTTTTTTTCAGTAACGCTTTCAGTTATAAAAGGTCGGAAATGCAGTTTCACCCGTCTTTTAGTGCTCTTATTAAATGGATGCTACGATCCTTTGCATTATACACGCACAACAACAACAACAACAACATTAACAATAGGCATGTGTTGCATACCTGTCTTCCAGAGGCGTTGAATGCGAGGGCCATTGTGTTGCCCTCCATTAACATGATTAAGGGGACGGCTTCCCCCATGAAGTATAATGAATATCTCTTATCATGGTGAAAATACAACGCTTTAACATTAATTATTAAGAATATGTTGGACAGGTGTTGGATGTTCACTTCCGTCTTTGTAATTCATTCATCGAAGGTCATGTAACTAAATAAAAAGCGTCTCAATTAAACCTGGACAGAAATCTAACAACTCACGTAGTTTTGAGGCTATATATCAGCATTTTATTTACGGGGACCAAGATCTTG